CATGCGGTCATCATGCTGTGATCGATTAACCACCAGCAAGACAAATCCACGGGAAGGCGAAATTCATATATCAGCAAGCCAACAGATTTAATTGTCACTAAACAGAACCCCAGAGCACCACAGGGCTCAACACCCCACTGGACCACAGCAGGGGGGAGATGGGCAAACGAGATGCCCGTTCATGCTTGCAGCCACTGATCGATTGTCGACCTTCAAACCACACCCACAGGAGGGGCAACTCACCAACCAGCAAGCCAAACCATCTTTGATTGTCACCGAAACACAGAATGCTAGAGAACCACAAGTGCCAGCCCCCCACAGGACCACAGGGGGGGAGAGGGGGGAAACAGAAAGAAGATGCAGTCAAGCTTGTTGTGTGCATTAGTGGGGGTGGCCACCTGCAAGCCATCAACCAGCAAACCAAAACATCTTTGATTGTCAAAGAAACAGAATGCTAGAGAACCACAAGGGCCAGCACCCCTCAGAGGGAGAGCAGGAAAACGGAAAGAAGATGCAGCCTCCTTGCGCATTGGTGGGGGTGTGGGTGGGGGGGGGTGGATGGGCTGGGGGGAGGGGGGACGAGGGGGGCGGGCATATATGTTCCCGGTCCCGCGATCCTACCCATGGTATGGTCCCCCCCCCTCCCCAGCCCAAACCTGTCAAAAGTGCCAACAGTCACAAGGATAGGGCCTCTCGAGGTCGCGATCCTCGCAACTGTCGTCGTTTTTGACGCCTCAAAGCTGCCATCCTTGTAACTGTCGTCACTTTTGGCTCCTCGTGCTTCCCTCGCCTCTCAAACGTGCCAACAATTACACAGTTACAGGGATGGGACCCCCTAATGTCACGGTCCTTGCAACTGTCATCACTTTTGGACCTCTGTGTGGTCTTGGCGTCTGAAAAGCGCCAACAGTCACAGGGAAGGGGCCTCCCGGGGTCGCGATCCTTGTAACTGTCGTCACTGTTCAACCTTCTTGCTGTTTATACCTGGGGCTATAGCTCTACTTAGGCTCTACCGTGACCTGGCACTACAGGAACCTCCAAATAAACTTGTGTCCAAAATTAATAGAAGAATTAAGGTGACAGCATCAGAAATAATATGGGATACGTAGCAAGATCATCTACAAATACCCACACCCTCTTAACATACCACCAGAACCACATGGACGGGACCACCAGAACCACAGGACCACAGGGGGGGAAGAGAATCACCAGCACCGCATAGATACCACAGGGTGAAGCTTTGAGTTTCATGCAAGTGCAGTTACATGTCCAACTACCAATGCCTGATGTCCTCTGCTTAAGGTTCTAGTGTGGGGACTACCAGCACCTACAGGGACCACAGGGGGCGAGGGGAAAATGCCACAAGCCACAACAACCACAAGGGTCCACAGGGTGAGGAGGAGGACCATACCAGGGGGGGGCGGGTGGCAACCCTGGATCATATATTCCACTCACCGCCAACAAGCAAGTCGGCCCTGTGGGACGTTTGGGGGAGAACTGGGCATGCAACTGAACTTCTCGCAAGCCCAAACCCATGAAGAAAGAGAGAGAGAGAGAGAGCGAGAGGAGACACAGGGTTAAAGCCTATAGGATTTCTAGTAAGTTGAGTAAAGCTAACCGTATCGCACATTACCACACAAGCTGCGTCATGTCTTTGGAGCCCTATATGGTGCTTCCAGCGTGCCTGAGCAGGAGCGGATGGTACCAGCGCAACTTGTTGGGGTCCGAACCTCTGGTACCAGGCTGCTCAGTATTCTCTGGATGACTGATTTGTTGGATAATCACTTTTTTTGCCTTTGGGGGTGGGTGCAGGCTCTCAGTGTAGGCATGCGATTCAACTACTGACTCCAAAGAGAGCTTCCTGAAAGGCTGTGATTTTTTCATTTTTGCACGACCTCCGTCATCCTCCGTCTTGTCAAGGAACATGCGGAAGCTTCTGAACTTTGTGTTGTTTTTGCTTTGGCTCATACAAGCTGCTTGGGCAGACCTGGCGTGCATGTCTGTTGCTGTTGTCACGATTACCATTCATATTGCTGTTAGTTTTGTAGCTACCATGAACTCTTCTTGTTGTTGTTGTTGTTGCTGCTACTATCTTCCACATTTCTCATGTGCAGGGGCCTCTGCAACTTTAGCATCCTAAAAGCACATGACAGGACGGCAATTTACCCTAGGACCCTAAACAATAAACCCTACGCCCTAGCCCTAGGATGTTCTACCCACATTCGCGAATGAGGGAGTCATGAACCTGCTGCACACTTCGCGTTTCCCAGGTACCTTCAGAGGGGTTATATGGGTTCTGTAGGGGATGGGGTTATATGGGGGTTATACGGGGTTTAGGGTTTAGGGTTTAGAATGTAGGGACCTCTCCACGAAAGGCTTACGTGAGGCCTGATTGCTTTGGCTTCGCCCCGTCTGAAGGATCAAGACACTGTTGCATAACACCTGCAAGTACGACCCGCAGCAGCCCTAGCACAGGCTTATCCCCTTGTTGTGGGCATTCTTTACACGTTCTAGCTCAAAAGCCCCCGATCAAGGGGTTATAGAGGCGTCTACATGAACAACATTCCAAACTAGCAAAAATGGGTTCAAGGCCACCGTAACTTTTTAAGAAGCGCTTAAATTTGCATGAGCATTTTTTCCAAAAAGCTACCCCTGCTCGAAGCCCAAGGCTATGCAGAATCCGGGCCTTTATGTGTGTAGTTGAGATTTGAGATTTTGGTTCATTATTTATCTCCTTTTGCAGGACCCCTAGCAACTCCATGCCGAGCAACTTCTCTGTCTGGCACATCATGGCAGGCTGCGTTGCGGCGTAAGGGAACTGGCCGGCTGGCACCAGCATGGCCACCACCTATCGCTTCAGGAGGTTGAGAGTGTCAGGGCTGTTGGGGTTTAGGGGTTTGGGGTTTAGGGATATGGAAATAAATGGCGGTCTCCCAAAATTAGGGGTACTTTAAGCAAGCAATGGCTAACCCCGCATCTCACATGCATATACTCCACCCTATGGTTTTCAACCCATTCTGAAAGCACACCCGAAATCTACATCAGAAATTCTATTCAACCTTTCCAGAAACC